AGAGGGGCCTCCGGGCGTCACCCAGAAAACCCAGCCCCAGCGGGCAGCGTACCCCTGCCCAGAACCACCTCAGGGACCCTGCAGGACAGAGAGCCGCTCCAGAGGGGTGTCTAGGCCGTCAGTCGTCACGGGAGCAGAGTCCCAGCCACACGCGCTGGGGCGAGGCCGCAAGCACACCCGCTGGCGGGGAGCCCGTCCCGCTCACAGCGCCCCTAGACGGAGGGTCTCCGAGGCTCTCAGGGTTTACAGAGCCGACGGCCTCATCTCTCGCCCCCCGAGCAGCTGGTGGATGCCAAGGGCTGATCCTCGGGTTACAGGCCGGCGCTGTGACCACTGGGGTGGCTTTCCCACCTTCCAGGCAGTGTTCCCGGGTTGGATTCCGGCCAGGGCCCCTCACGTGCATCCCCCCCTCCGTCCCTGGAGGCTTGTGCGTGGCTCCCACGGGGAGCAGGTTTCGGTGGACTGCCACACGCTGGGAGGGGTGCCCGGGGGTACCCTCCGACACTCCCCGTGCCCCCCTGTGGAGCGCAGCAGGCTGTGCCTCTGGGCACGGGGTGGCCCTGAGTCAGGGACGGCTCGGCGGCAGCTGACAGCGCGCAGGAAAGCCCGCGGGACGCCGGTCTGCCCTCGGGGCTGAGGCAGAAGGTCCCTTTTCCAAGAGAAGGCACCGTGGGGAGCGCCTGCGGTGTCCTGCGGCCGGGGCCTCCCTGAGCCCGGTCTGCTCCCCAGGCCCCGCACAGGGCGGCCCCTGAGCGGGAGGCGGCCCCGGGGCGCCCTCCATCCTCAGGGCCCAAGGCTGCCCCGGTGAGGCCCGCGCAGGGGCGGGCGGCCGTCTCCGCTGTGGCCCGACGCCTCTCGGCTGCTGCCGGATCCGGGTGCCTGCGAGCCGCCCCTCGGTGCTGCCGTTGCCTGGAACCAGGCGGCTGGGGGCACGTGGGTGGCCAGGCGCCCCGCGTGCTCTCGGCCCTGGGCAGGCCGCGTCCCCGCAACCCGTAACCTGTTATCTAATTACAGTCGTGATAAGCCCTGGGAAGGCGGAGGGCAGGCGAGCCGAGACTCGGGGCCGCCCAGTGCTGGCTTCACGGTGAA